CTTTAGGGATTGTAATAGAGCCTCTGAGATTTGGAACATTGTCATCCCCCCCACTTTCTTCCATAACCTTACCTCTAGAAATTGGTGGAGTAAAAATTTAAAGTCAACCACAATCCATCCTATGTTCAATCTTCCTTGGAATGTGTGCTTTGCCTTTATCACTTGGAGAATGTGGTTAAGAAGAAATGACTAGCTTTTTAACAGAAAATCCAGCAACCCTGCCAGGTGGGTTACTTCTGTACAAAACCTGGTCACAGAGTTTTCATGTCTGGGTGGGTCTAGTCATACCACCTCAACTGGGGGCTCCCAAGTGAGTCAGAATCCTTTGCAGGATTTCAATATCTATGTGGATGCTTCCTTTAAGACTAACTCTCTTGGAGCTGGTATTGCTTGTGTGTGTAAAGATAGACAGGGATTATGGATCAAGGGTATAGCAGTTCATTGTAATGCAATTTCTGCTGTGATGGCTGAAACTATGGCTATCATAGCTGTTGCTGCTTGGGCCATATGGGAAGGATGGGATAGGGTTCACCTATTCTCTGACTGTCTGAGAGCTGTTCAGGGCATCAACAACTCAAGGTTGGGGTCTGAAGAAATGAGGAATTATTATTCTTTGTGCAGGGGCCTGATGGAAACATCAGGAGGGGTAAAGCTGTTCAAGACTTCCAGGGAAGCAGTATGGGAAGCAGATGCGGGGGCCAGACAAGCCACGTTGGATCTACAGCGCACTTCTAGTAATTTATGTAATCAGGACTCTATCTTAGAACATTTTGTAATTATTCAGGAGCCTGTACAGGCTAGCTTGCAGACTTGTAACCGCTCTAATGTTCATTTTGGTCCAAACTTGTTAAACTCGGGACAACTAACTGTAGGGGAGATACTCCCACTTCTGTATCAACTGCCCTAGCTATGGGGGTTGCTTTTGTAAGTTGGTTGTGGCCATTAACTTCTATGATGCTTATCTAATCTAGTTCGGTTTTCTACCAAAAAAAAAAGGTGCACCTAGCCACCCAGGTGTATAATAAAGACCTTAAATAATAACGCGATGGTGCAATGGTGGTATTGGATAGACCGAGATAGTGAAATTTTGCTTGATTGGGGACATAATTAATCAGCACGCCTTTATAATGATGAAATTAAAAAGGGATTAAGATTCCGAGGCTTTGCAAGGAAGGAAGAAAGAGAGAGGGAGTGAAAGGATTTTTTTTGAAACAAAAAAAAAAGACCAAAGTTTACATATTTCACTTTAAATATTACATTTGTTAACATATACTTTGATGACCTACTGAGATCAAGTGTGATTAATTGATATTGTCATAAGTCAAATAGAGTAGAACAACTTAAGGGTCTGTTTTATTCAGCTTAATTTCACTTCAATTTAGTTTAGTTTCTAATTTCCTTCTCTCATAATGAACAATTCATTTCAGCTGTATTTAGTTAAGTTGTTTACAGTAAATCGAAACATGCCCTAAAATAAGAATCAAAGCAACTACAAGTCATTTAATTAATACGTGCATAATTCCTTAAAAACTTTCCATTTTGCATGTATGCATATCAAAAAGAAAATCCTTAAGATCTTGTGAAGTATATCTTACTTCTATATCAAGAAACCATAGATAGTGAGCTAGTACAAACATGTGGAATCTCCTACATTAATTAACAACCATTCGTTAGTAGATAATCAGCAAATACAAGATCATATCTTCTGTTGTAACAGACTAACAGAAGCTCAAGTTTCAAGTTCATGTAACCAAGGAGGATTCGTATCAGTCACAATTAATGTGACTTTCCCAAATTGAATTAGTTGGTTTTATTTTAATTAATTAAATTCTTAAGAAGTGCATTTAAATGAATGATTAGGATAATTAGGTGTATATTGATAATTGAATGCCATTATCAAAGTATTAGACGCGTTCTTAGTTAAGTTCTCCGATTAGATAGCCGCAATGCTAGGGATTCCATATCATTTAAAGAGTATTAACAAATATCTATCCACTATCATTTGCTTCTTTGAAACCTTAATTAATTTTTGTTTGGTCTACAAATACTTTTCTTATGATATTTTAAGGTGTATTTAGAAATAGGTACACCCACAAGGTCACACTTGTCATGGCTTATGCACAAGTTCAAAATCTAAATGGACCAAACTGAAAGACCGAAAGTTTTTATTTTTGTAGATAGTGGATCGATCAGATCGAAAATTATAATTTGTACTGGTCTGATTTGGTTTGGATCGGACTTCTTGTTTCAATTTTTTTTATGTGATTATACTTCCTTCAATGGTATATTATTTAGTTGCGTATACTGTTTGTCATATATATTCATCTGTTATTTTGACCACACTTTTTTTTCTTACTAGTGAGTAAACAATACAAGTAATTGTTATTATGAAAATACTATTGAATTATTCTTAACTGTTAATTGTTAAATATCAATATCTGTGATGATTTCTAGTAATACTAATGATCAAAATGATATGTCGGTAAACTTGATCGATCATAATGGGTAAGGTAATATGGGGCAAATTAATGAAATATTATGGATAAGAGAAATACCATACTAATTAAATAGCTTTTAATCTTCCATCGAGTCATCAACATTTCCAATGATAGTAGTATAATGTTACATTGACATTGTAATTTAAGATTGCAATATATATATGTAAACCAAGAAATTTGATTGAATTAAATTACTACTTCAAATAAAAGGTAAGGTCTACATGATCAAGCCACCAATATATAAATTGAGAAATTGATTTTCCAATTATTTTTCTAATAACACAAAATGCAAAAACAAGAAATTGAATCATATAAGCAACAAAAAATGGAAAATGTTAGACAACAATTAAACATTAGACAAATTCATTAAATTGTGCAATCCCACTAGACAAAGTAAGGCCTTGATAAACCACATGCCAACCATACCATAATAAAAGGAGTGGGACTTAAAACATTAAAGTTGACCTAATATTAATTGCTCTTACACTATAAAGTACACAATCGTGTGATTAAGGCCAAACTATTTTACGCGGCATAAAACCACAAAAAGAAAATTGTAACCAACAAATTACCTGTAATTTGAAAACCTGGCTAGGCGGAGTACCCAACGCGGCAATCATGCCACGTGGACGTGGTATCTAGAACTTTAAAAGCAGGACCACTTCCCAACCAATGGATTCGATACTTTTTGCCAGCGTGTCACTTCTCACGTGCTTTACTCCTTAATACCCGAATAATTACAACCCTATTCCGTTTTCCCGTTTACTTAATTTAATTAATCATCAAATTGTACACTGGCTTAGATTTCTCATGTTTAGTTATACATGTTAATTACATCAATTTTTATTCTCATTATTACGGAGTACTTTTATTTGAATGATTATTGGATTGTCCTATGACTCAACTATGAGAATAAAGACAAACATGGAACTGGTAACCATTCTCACCGAATTAAAGGCTATTTACTTCATCTTAATTTCAGTTCAATTTAGTTCAACTCTAATTAGTTTAATTCAGTTTATGCTTCTAATTTCCTACTCTTATAAAATATTCATTTCAACTCAGTTCAGATCAGTTCAACTTTGTTCAATAAATATGAACAGACCCTAAGACACATGTAATCAGTTGTAATTTTTTTTTTATATAACCTATAATGTCATTGTTTCCACCTGAAAAACTTTAACATGCTAAATATAATGTCTAAAGGTTCATAATATTATTCACAATTTTATTTTATTTTATTTTATTTTTACTTAACATGATTTAAATTTGCTTGAATTTTAATGAGCTTGCATTGTTTTAATTAAATATTAAACTTACATAAACATTATTTACAGAATATTATTCATTCAAATTTAATTAATTTATCATAATTAATTAGCATAGCATATTTTTTTTGTATATTACTTCAAGGTACAACGATTGAATTTACAAAAAGTAAAAACTATGCTATACTCATGGGGAAATCCAATAAATTTTGGTGGTGAATCTGGTGTCTGGCCACTCTCTGGCTGGTGAGTTTATACTATCTAGTGGATTGAGTAAGTTTATTTACACCATGTTGTTCACTAATTTACATGGACCATAATCATCATATTATATGGTTTACTGAAATTAGTTAGCAATTATTACACTCTAAAACACGGTTTTACCAAGTTGCCATTTTTTGTCAAACTCCACCATAAACTAATAAATTACCAAGCAAACACAACACCAAACAAAATAAATTTACTTCAATGCAGTTCGACCATAACTCTTGACTTTATATGATATATCAACTGACAAATTATATGAATTGACATTAATTGGGTCTAGAATTTATTCGATTTTGCTTGATTATTTGTGGAAAAAAATGCAGTAATATATACTTTGCAGTACTTGTAATTTACAATTCAATAGAGTCAATACTAAATTTGATTTTATCAAGCAAGGCTAAGCTAGCTTAGCTTAACTCCCTTGGTAATAAGACCATATATATATATATATATATATATATATATATATATATATATATATATATGTGAGTTTAAGGTTGTTTAGGATTACTCATTACCATTAAAAAAAAGAAAAATGATAAACATAGCCCTTTAGGGCTATGTATTAATGTATAAGAAGCTAAAAATGAAATATTAAAGATAAAATAACATTAAGTATATTAGTTTACGTGTGATTTGTCATAAATTCTCAACTTAATTCCATTTTAAGAAGTATATTTGATACTTATATATAACTGTTAAAGGCTATATATACCATTACCTTAAAAAAAACAATAGGATATCAAATTTAGTTTAACATCTAAGCTAGATCAGTTTGAAAGAGTCTATTTTAGATATTTGGAACCCTTACCAAATGAATTGAAATATACTTTGTATATACTTCAATTCATACAAAGTATGATAGATAAAGTCTTCGTATTACATTTTAAGATTTGATAAGATTCAATTTGATTTTATTTTCTAAATGCTCAAATAAAAATAGAAAATCACAACTTAATATGTTTTTTATAAAAAAAATTAATTATAATAATATAAAGTTACAATCACAAAATGCATCAAATCAAAAAAAGAATGATTTTTGAGCTAATTGTAAGTAAAATTTTCTCTCTCCACATTAAACTTGGAGTACCCACATGCCTTTCACAGGCTGTACTAGTTCCTTCTCTCTCTACCCGTTCGTGCGCGCCTACTTTTCTTATAATTAAATTCTCCCTCTCTTTCTTAACCACCCTTTATAACCCCTTCATTTTTCCAACTCTATTCCATAAACTTTTCCACTTCATTTTCTCTACAAATACTTCTCCATTTTCTCTACACTACTCTATCAATAACAACAACACAAATCTAAACTTAAAACCACCTCTCTTGCAAATTTAAAAGACAATGGGGAGATACAGGCGTACAGTTTCGTTCCCGAACCCGCCCACACCACCCGTCCGGCCATGTGCTAATAAGGGCCTCCACGTCCGATCAGCCTCCTTGCCTTGTGTCCGATCCCATCCGTTGATCCCGCAGCTCCAGGACGAGGTTACCGAGCTGCGGGCTTGGGAACGGGCCCGATCCGGGCCTGGATCGGGCTCGGTTGTTAACGGGCTGGCGCGTTTGAAGGGTGTCCTAGACTCCCTTGACGATGTGCTTCAGCTGCCCTTGACGCAGGACTCTTTATCTACAAAGACTGACGTTGTTGAAAGGCTTCTAGAAGACTTTCTCCGTTTCGTCGACGTTTATGGAAGGTTTCGGGCCTCCATGTTGGGCCTCAAGCAGGAGGTTTCCGCTGCCCAAGTAGCCCTCCGTAGGAAGGACGACTCCAAGCTTGGGCAATACATCAAGGCTCAAAAGAAAATCGCTGGCGAAGTGAGCAAGCTCATCACCACCATCGGATCAGTCCCCTTGCAGCAACCGACACCCGTAAACCCCGCCGTCATTGCGGTGGTGTCCGACTACGACGACGAGCTTAGGCACGTGATCAGGGACGTGCATCGGTTAACGGCCTCCGTTACCGAGGCAGTTTTCGGGTCGGTGTCGGGCTTTCCGGGCCGAAGGCCCGTGTGGGCAAGTTTCGGGCTCGGCCGGAAGGCAAGGAAGGATGAACAAGGGATGATTGAGGAGTTTCAAAAGGTGACAGGAGGAGTGGAGGATTTGTTAGAGTTGAGAAAAAACATAAAGAAAAAAAATAGTAATAACAATAATGAAGAGGAAGTAATGAGAATGGGAGTTTTGAAGGGAATGCAAGAATTGGAGGATTGTATTGGAGAAATGGAAAGAGAAAGTGAAAGAGTGTTTAGGAGTTTGATTAGTACAAGAGTATCTCTCCTAAACATTCTAACTCATGCATAGAAGAAGAAAAAGATGATATATCTTTTACTACATTTCCTTGGAATTGATATTTGACAAAAAATATTTACTAATTTCTTTGATTTCCCCCTTATTTTTGGTGATTGTAAGAAAGTAAAAAAATAAAAAAGGATGGAAAAAAAAAATCAAAGAGTTAGAAAAGAATTGATGAGGCCATACTTTAATTTATTTTTTTAACTATTTTTTTTTTCACTTGTAAATCAAAGTCATTCTTTATATACACACTAGATTTACTATACACTTGGTATATTATTTGATTATCTTTTATGTTTTTCGTTAATTATAGAGCATTATCAACAATTTTGTAGCATTGTCGGCAATTGGTAATGGATAATTGTAGAGTTGATAAATAAGATATCCCATTAACAAATTGATGGCCTTTTATTCCATTTATGATCTTTGTAAAAAAAAATTTGAACTCAATAATTTGTGTCAAAATGCCAAGTAAAAATGAAGAGCAACTTCTAATGGTAGTCTTCAATTTATGCGTTCAAATTTGTGTTAAACGCAAACTTGTCCTTATCTAGTACTAGATCTAAGATCAAACAGTCTTCCAAAAAATTACAAATCAAGGGCTACAGATTACGAAGTACGGAGTATTAAACTGTCATTAACTAAGCTAGTTTTTAGATTTGTTCGTTTTGAGAAGGAATTGCATGTCATTCTAAATCATACTTCTTCCTCTAACATTGTTAATCTGGCTTAACTTTAAACAAATATTACGTATAAATTATCAAGATAAGAGCTAGTTCAACAACGTATTACAATGTGAAAAATACAACGTATTTATCCTTGTGGGTTGGAGGTGGTGATAGATTTTCGTGGGTAGCTTAGGGTTAGGTTTTCGAGTAAGGGAGGTTACTTTTGGTGGGTGATGAAGAGTTTTCTAGCAAGGTTTGAGTTTTGGTTTGGTGGTTGTTGATTTGTGGTGGGATGGGGTGGGGTTGGGTTATTACTTATTAGGTGGGTAAAGAGGGTTTTCGGGGTTCCGGTTGGGTTGGGTTGGGTTTTGGGTGGGTAGGGTGAATTTTAGGGTGGTTTGTTGGTAAAAGGTGGTAGTTATGTGGGTGGGTTGGTGCAAGTAGTTCAGGTGGAGAGGTTGGACGGTGGGTAGTTTTATTGGCTAGGGTTGTTTTGCCCGATGGTCAAGGTGGTGCTTGTGATGGTCAAAGTGGCTATGAGATAGAGTAGAGCTGAGAAAGGGAATAATGTGAAACCTAGGGGGGGTGAGGAATGAGTGTAGAGGACTTTGGGTATGAAGGGGGTAAAGAATATGATTGAATAGTGTGTTTGGATAGAGAAAATAGTGGAAGGAAATGAAGGGGAGGGAGAGGAAAGGGTGGGAAGAATGATGGATTTTCCTTCCATATCTCTCTGTTGTTGTAGAGATCAATTTCTTACTATTTAAATATTTAATCCCTCCATTTCCCTTCTTCCCTATTTGTGATCCAAATAAAAGATACTTCATTCCTTCATTTTCCTTTCCTTCCTTCCTTCCTCCCCCTACATTTTTTTGGTATTTCGAATTCTAATTTAGAATTTAATCAAATAATTTTGCCAAAGGTCTAATATTAATTGATTTTTTTTGAGAAAATTAATTAACTTTCATTAGGTCAAACTTCAATAACTCTTTTATTTTTCCTACTCAACTTCAATAATTCTAATAAAGACACCAAATTAACCTTTAATATATAATTTCTCCAAATTAAAGTGTATAGCATATACGCCAATATTAAAATGATAGTGGTGAACGACATGAAAAGATAAAGCAAGGATGGCAAATAATGTTTTTGTCTACAATTGGGAAAAATAATGAGGGTTTCAGTTACAAAATTAATCAATAATTCAAAGATATTGTTGTCTCCTAGTGATCCTAATAGCCTGTACAATAAACCGTATTCAGAGGTTGCCTCTAATAATACATCTTCATCATTTGATTATCATCCCAACATGTATTAGGTAGTTTTTTTTCTTCCAACATGCATCATGCAAGCCTTATTACTATACATAATATTAGAATTATTGTGCTTAATTACACATGAAATTAAGAACTTGAATGTTTGGTCTCATTTTTGTACACGGATGGGAGTAACCAAGCTAAGTGGTGTTCCTATGGGGCTTGCTCAAATAAATAAATGGTTAATATACACTTGCTCTTTATCGTTTCAATCGGATATGGTTAATATATACTTCCTCCATTTTTCTAAGTGCTATTTACTTTCTGTTTTCATCTATTTTTCTAAGTTATACCCACTTTTACTTTATTTCTATTATGACAATTCTTAAACACCGAATTCTTTTTTTATTTTTTTTATACCATATACAACTTCACTTTATGAGCCCTAATTATATTTAAATAATAAAACTCATACTCTATATCTATCTTTCTCTTATTTAAATAAAAGGGTATCTACATTCATGATGTCCTTTTCCACTTTTTTCTTGTTTACGTAGCTTCCATACGTAATTGGGTAAGGGCATGTTCTCATACGTTTATTTTCAATTCAGTTCAGTTTAGTTCAGTCCATTTTAGTTCAGTTCATCTCAGCTCAGTTCAGCTCAGCTCAGTTCAGTTCAGCTTCGCTCCTAATTTCCTTCTCTTATAAAATATTCATTTCATTTCAGTTCAGCTCAGTTCAGTTCAGCTGATTTCAGTCTATTAGAACAGGTTAGGCTTAAGAAAATAGATCGAGAGGGTACTAGATTGTGATGGTGTTAATGCACGGGATTTGTAATCTTTAAATTTATGCAAAAGAGGGCCAAGCCCGGACACACAAAGAAAACACTTGATTGATTGACATTATATATTAATAATTGTTGATAGAGTATAAAATATATTTTTGGGACTCAACCATCAGATTAAGTTTTTAGTTGAGTTGATCCTCTAACATGGTATCAGAGCCAGCGTGATACAAAAGGGTCATGAGTTCAAATCTCATCCACCCCCTGAAATTAATTCGCACTGGGTATGGAAGGGCCCGGGCTAAAAGATTAAGAGAAGGGAGAAAATAAAATCAAATGTAACATGCATATAGGTCGTGAATAATATTGTGTTATCAGAATTCAGAAGCAAAGGCTATGGCTAGTGGTTTGAATATCGCAATCCAATAATGTGATGCAAGGAACGTCATTGTTGAGAGTCTTAACTTGGTGAGTGGTATGAATAGAAAAGGGTCATTCTTGGATTGATATATAGCTAGGGAGATTAACTCCATTTCTATTATCTTTTTTTATAAGATTGAGTTTGCTCATATTTTCAGAATAGCTATTAGTGTAGCGTAGAGGAATTAACAAACCGAGCGTGCTCGTGAACTGCTCTAGACTTGTCTCATCAAAGCTTCGTATAAAGCTCGGCTCGAGTGGGCTTAACTGATGACTCAAGCTCGTGTTTAGCTCGATATCTTAACGAGTCAAGCTCGAGCTATCATTGGCTTGGCTTGATAGCCCGTGAATATGTTGCAAGTTATATATATATATATATATATATATATATATATATATATATATATATATATATAACTTAAATTAATTGGGTTTTTTAAAGGAACTGAAATTAATTGGTTTTTTTTTTCTTTTCTTTTCTTTTATTTTATATATATATATATATATATATATATATATATATATATATATATATATATATATATATATATATATATATATATTAAGTTTAGTTGTTGGCATGGCCCTCTGGTATGTGTTTAAAAGTCTACCTAACAAGCTTTTAGTATAAGGGCTGATAGAGAATATTCATAGAATATTCTCATCATAGGTTTAAGATATATATTTTGTATAAGATTATCTTTGATATTTGTACATATCTTATCTTACCTAATATGATTAGGTTTCTCGTTGTAACCCTATAATATTGATATTAGGTAACATAAGATATGTACAGGTATCAAAGATAATCTTATACAAATTATATCCTAAACCGACCTAAGATGAGAATATTCTATGAATATTCTCTATTAAGGGCAAACTTTTACAATTTGACCATAACAACTAAAATTTTGCGCGCAACGCACGTGTAGGCTCTCTAAGTAAAATCAGAATTTGATTGTCTTTGGAAGAATAACTATAAGCAACATTTGGGGCTTGCTGGTTTTAGGTTTGACAAACCTTGATAATTGATTAAGATCGATTCGAGCCAAACAGAGCTTTCCTTTTAAAATATATTATAATTTATTAATTTCCTTATAAACATAGTAACAAGATGGGAAATCGGTGGTAAGGCCCCGTTCACTTCACCTTATTTTTGCTGAAGTGAAATTATTTTTACCGAAATAAAATTATATTTACTGAAATAAAATTATTTTTTACTGAACTTTAATTATTTTTTACTGAACTTAAATTAATTTTACTAAACTTAAATTATTTTTGCTAAACTGAAATTATTTTTACTAATTTTCTATTATAATTCTTCTTTAAGATAACTGAATTTTACTGAACTCAAATTACTTTTAATGAACTGAAATTATTTTTACCGAACTAAATTTATTTTTACTGAATTGAAATTATTTTAAATCAATATTTTTTTTAAGGTGAAGTGAACAGGGTCTAACTCTAAACTTGTTCGATTTGCTCCTTTACATCAAAGCAATATTTAATTTCTTTGGCGGAATTGGATCTTAATCGTGTTAAGTAATACAAAATGGCTATCTTTCTTTGAAAAAAAGAATTAAAATCCAATAAAAAAAAGTTTAAATATGTAAAAGTATTCATCAATTTTAAATGTGGGAGCCTAGTTTAATCTATGAGATTAACATTTTATTATATCTTCTCTCACAACTTTATGCTTGATTTCCGTGTCAATTTATAATTTCACCTTTATTATTTTAAAAATAAAAGAAGAACAATTTATTGCGAGTGGGGATATTTTTACAGATTTATCTCATAGGTCAACTTAAATTTTCCCATTTTAAATACTTCCTTCATTACTATTTAGATGCATCACTTTTGTAATTGTGGACTCCTAGACCATTTTTTTTGGAGTAGAAAGAGATAGAGAAAAAAATAAAGAGAACCCCATGTGATAGGGGAGAGATAAATAATAATCTATAATATTATTAAATCTCATAGTAAAAGCATGCAAACGCCATGCTTCATCCTTCATTCAATTTGATTTGGTACCACATGTGCGCCACATGTCATCACCCTTCTCTTACCATATTGAATTGTAGTACGAGTAATGTTTAGTCTCTTTGAAGAATTCTTTACTGGCGTAACTTTAACTTTTCATAAAAATGTTTAAATTCCTTGTAAAACTCTTCAAATGTAACCTCTATTCAAATGTTTTTATTTTTGAGGGAATACGTTAGCAGGATTTTATTATAAATCAAAAGCCGCAAGGGTCAAGAGACTTTGCGGTATGTTACCAAACAAATAAGTTCATCACTACTTCGAGTATCCCATCTGAAAACTCTTCAAATGTATAACCTCTATTCAAATGTGATATATCTTAGATATATTCATAAAAGATGATATAACACCAACCCTTTTTAATTAATTTTAATCAAACAAATAAATTTATGATGAGACGAGACATTGCCCGGGCCAATAGCTAGTTTATTAACTAAAATGGAGAGTGAAGCATTTAAATTAAAACTTTTGTAATTCGAATGTAATGCATCTAATAAAAATGGAGGAATTAAAAAATTATTCTATAACATAAGATAAGCTATAGTATATCTATCGTTTAAGGATTGTTTACGGATTGGATTGGATTGGATTGGGTTGGGTTTGGGTTTAGGTTTAGGTTTAGGTTGGTAAGTGAGTTTTGTTGGCCAATTTTTTTTAACCAAGAGGTCCAAGACCCAACCCAACCACCTCAAAAGTTGAGTTGTGTTTAGGCTATTGTTGGGTTTTGATTAGATTGGATTTGGATAACTTGTTAATGAGGATTATCCAAGTGGGTCGTCTTAACTTAACTCATTGGCATTCTAAGTTAAGGCAAGTCCATAGACTTGGTATATCTATTGGGCTCAAGTAGCTTGAACTTTCAACCATTATCCAACCAAAGTAGACCCAAAAAAACATAAGAATATCACTTGTAGAATTCAACCAAAGTGGACCCAAAAAAAATGAAGTGAAACTACCATAAAATTTCATCATACTTTCTTGACTATTGCTAAACTTTTAAGCTTTAACGACCAAACCATAAAATACACAATTAAAAAAACGAGTTTGATTGTCAACGGAAGAATGAAGAATCATCAAAACCAAAACCAGCTTACAAGTTGCAATGTGTAAGCTGTACCTCTCATAATCATCATCATTCTCTCTCTAAATTACTCTTTCAGATCTCTTTCTTTCTCTCTCTTCTTTCAATTGACTCTCAAACAATTCATTTCATTCCAAACTTTTTACAAATACAAAGAGTTTTTTGTCAACCCCTTTTTCCCACCAACCTAAGTACCCAACTACAGAACACAACTACAACTACAACCCTTTAACTAGTTTAAGCTTTGGTTTGGTGCTGTTTTTAAGTTTTTTTTAAATGGGTTGTTTTCAGTCAAAACTGGGTCCACTTAAACAACCCCTTAATCACGCTACAATCAATGGTGGTGGTTCCGCCGTTGTCGGTGATGGTGCTTCGGCGGGTTTCTCAGAGTTTACTTTGTCGGAGTTGAAGACGGCCACCGACAACTTCAGTTTGAAATCGATTGTTTCAGAAGGTGGTGAAAAGGCTCCTAATGTTGTTTATCGTGGCCGTCTTCAAAACCGTCGATTGATCGCTGTTAAGAAGTTTTCTAAGCTTGCTTGGCCTGACCCTAAACAATTTGCTGTAATTTTTACTGGTTTCTAATTTTGGGTTTTTCAATTGATTGGTTTTTTGTTACTGGGTTGTTGTTGAATTTGATCTTTATTTTGTTTTTTTTTGGCAGGAAGAAGCAAAAGGAGTTGGGAAATTGAGGCACAAGAAATTGGCGAATTTGATTGGGTATTGTTGTGATGGAGATGAGAGGTTATTGGTTGCGGAGTTTATGCCTAATGATACTCTTGCTAAACATCTCTTCCATTGTAAGGGTGTTGCTTAGTTATTTATTTCTATTTTTGGTAATTTAGGTTGAGTTTAATTATGGTAAATGTAGTTTTGTTTTGGTTTGTTTATATGATTGATTGTTTAGGAATTTTTTTTGAAGGAAATGCTGAATATGGAAATGGGTATTTAGTAGTATTGAATTGGATTTATGTTTAATTGTGACTATATTAGGGTTTCTAAGTTGGGGATTGTTCCAAGGTTAGCTTACATAGGTTTAGTTGCATGTGTGAAAAGAGATGTGATAGTTACTTGCATTTTGTTGCGTTTTGATTGTAGAATGGGATTGGATTAAATTGTTGGTTTAATAAAGAGCAATGAGCTTTGTTAACTTTAATGTCCAATTTTTTGATGTCACATTTTTAGGGCTAGTGAAGGCCTGCGTGTTTGCCTTAATAACTCAAACTTTGAAACTAAAATAATATATCGTTTAGTGTTAACTGTATTTTCATTGGGATAATAATTTATGCCTTTTGCTGTTGTGGTGAAAAATTCATGACTATAGACCTTAATGATCTTGGTCTCATAGTACTGCTATTCTTGATAGGGGAAAACCAAACTCTTGAGTGGGCAATGCGACTGAGAGTTGCTTTATATATTGCTGAAGCTCTGGAGTATTGCAGCACCGAAGGTCGCCCACTTTATCATGACTTAAATGCATACAGGGTTCTCTTTGATGAGGTATTGCATTATTCCCATAATACCCCCGTTAGACTAAAATAACTTACCACATTTGACTTTTGTGGGATTTAACTTTGATATATCATCGATCACTGCTTAAAAAAAAAACATCTAACAAGTGTTGCCCACTAGGCCATTACAGTATTTGTTAAAAAGAATTATTAGTATGCTTGTATTATTAATGATCTAAATTGTTATTTCGTAATCAGTTCCAAAAGGCAAATGTAGCTTATATATCTTTTATTTATTTATTTATTTTTTTGTTTGTATTGATGGGATATGATCCTAGGTCTTCACCTAATACTTTATCTAATAAAACTAGTTGGCATTCACCTTTTTTTTATTGTTCACATCTAATTATTAGTGAATCCAATTTCTATCATTAATTTTTCATAATTCCTATGAAAAACGGATACTTTTGAATGGAGAGTATTTATATTCTGTTTATGCACTCAATATGATTGACTTTGTTGATTTTTAGTCTATGATATGTAATATATACACTACTGTGATTGAAAATTAACCTGTTATAACCTGAAAGTTGGTGAAAAGCAATTATATAAGCTTTAGATGTTAACCACGTGCGCTTTTGGCAGAATGGTGATCCACGACTTTCTTGTTTTGGCCTGATGAAAAACAGCAGAGATGGAAAAAGTTACAGCACAAATCTTGCCTACACACCACCAGAGTATCTAAGAAATGGTATCAACTACTACTTATTCTATTAGAGTTCTATATCATCTTGTTGGTTCAATTATTGTAGGTCTTGGCAAGACTATATATTCAGATTTGAGTTATTGAAAATTTGTGCTATTTTTAGTTTCTCTTGTGATACTTAAATCTGGTTTCAGGTTTGTGATGTTCTTGGGGAGAATTCTAATATTACTGGAAATGCAAAAATTTCCATGTAGATATGAACCTTACTCTGACTTTCTGAGTGTTGTGCCAATATGAATAGCATACCCTAGTAATGCTGGCATTTGAAAAGTATTTTTTTTTTTCACTCTTTCAAAACCATACTTATAGAATCATGAAATAAATGGTTTTGAAAAGAGCGAATTGAATGAACCTTGGTAAAAATAATTTCTCCTCGTGAAATTCTCCAATAAGTTTTGTCATCCTTCAATCTTGATCTTGTTGTCATATTAATTGGAATGGAACATGCTATTATAGTTTTAGAATTGTTGTGGATTACCTGCATCGGCTGCATGGTACCTTATGCTGCAATAGTGCCATTTTTCTGTTGTCACCTGCAATGACAAAGTTCACTTACTTTCATACAGGAAGAGTTACCCCAGAAAGTGTAGTCTTCAGTTTCGGAACAGTCCTTTTGGACCTCCTTAGTGGCAAGCATATTCCTCCGAGTCATGTGAGTTCAAATACGTAGTTTTACTCTTATAACTCTTGCATGAAGGATTAATGTTGTTTAGTTTGTAGTCATTCAGACTTGGGCTCTTTAGCAGGTGTTCTTGCTTCCCTCTTTACTAACCTGTGAACTGCCTGACTCAACCCAATACACGACTTGCAGGAATAAAAATGTTGTTTGGTGAAAGAGGGGAAGTGATGATAATAAGATGTTTTGACTATAGAAAATCTGGTATAAGTGCTACAGTTTCCAAGAATACAAAATCTTGCTTGTTGAAAGGATTGATATCATCAAGGCTGAGACAGATTTTGTTAATGAACCTGTAGATGGAATTACTTTCAAGCAGAGATTGAATGGGCCCTTATTGATTATCACTCGTTTTTTAACTGCATTTTTCTGCATGTGTAATGCAATGCGTTTTAAGTTGCTAAGATGTTTGTGCTCTGCAGGCTCTTGACATGATACGAGGCAAAAACATTCTTGTTCTAATGGACTCGCATTTGGAAGGCAACTTCTCAAACGAAGAGGCAACAGTTGTTTTTAATCTTTCCTCGCAGTGCTTGCAGTATGAACCTAGAGAGCGACCAAATGTCAAAGACCTATTTACAACACTTGCTCCGCTGCAGAATAAAGCTGATGTAAGTCATTAACTACCATTGTTCACAATTTATGTGAGTTGTACTTGGCTTTTTCATTCAGATTTGGATTTTAATGCTGTTATGCTTGATATGTGGCATGTTCAACTATTATTATAAACTTTGCTTGGATGTTTGTCTTCTTAAGACACTAAATTTAGCCTGATCATCCGAGTCCTGATTTGACTAATCTTTGACCTTATTTGTATACTAATCCTTGGGGTGGGGAGGGGGTGGGTGGGATTATTTAATGAGGTATTGTTACATTTATAGATATCGTTACATTTATATCGCTGTAGCGTATACATTCAAATGTGGAATTTTCATAATTTTTTGTTCTATGGAATTAAAGATATTTAACAATTAGAAAACACACACTAAAATATTGTCTGATTTGGTTTGATCATTTCTAAAATAAGATTGACTATATATAGCTTGACTATCTGTCTGTATATCCGATTAACATGAATAGTGTAAAGCCATGCTACGGGTAGAAAGTCTTTTCTTGAATTTAATTTATTTGTATATACTTTTCAGTTTGAGGAATTGTGGGTATAAATCATGAAAAAATTCACCTCATCTTCAATATATTCATAAAAAGCCTGAACAATTAGATGAAGCAGCTCTTGCTTTACTAATTCGTGAATCACTTCTACTACTTTCAAAAGATAGATCCTCCTTTTCCTTTCAACTTTCTATTAATTGCTGAGCAGCTAGTGACAAAAGACTTATTGGTTCAGGGATGTATTGAACACTATGACACTTTCCTTTATTAGGCTTGCTTATCAATTAATAATCCTTACCAATATGTAGCCTCCCAACTTCCAATGAACAGTTATGAGCATTGATTGATTAAACATGATTTTAACTCCCAATTGTGTATCAAGGGTTACCCTCTCCACCCCTATCTAAATTTAAGGCCTCTCAAAATTCCGATTTCAGATATCTTCTGCCATTTTTTATGTCTATCAGATGAGGTATGATTATGGTATTAAGTATGCACTATGGAGTCCCTTATTCACTAGTGTCACAGTTAAACTTCATTTGTATTTGGACTGCAGAGTAATCTGTCTACCATATCTTCCATAATATCTGCTGAAACTTTGTAGTTTCTACATACCGATGGATAATTTTCAACGGCCCTGGGAAAAAAGGGGTGGGAATGAGGGGAAGTGGAAAATTAGGGTGAAGAAAACATCTGTTTCCTAGAGGTAATTTGTAGGTTGATTTTGCCATTTCAGGTTCCATCTTATCTAATGCTGGGAATACCAAAGCCTGAAGATGTACCTCCTACACCTCCGCAACCACTTTCTGCCATGGGAGATGCCTGTTCTCGTTTGGACCTCACTGCAATCCATCAAATACTGGTTTCAACACACTACAAAGATGATGAAGGGACCAATGAGGTAATTAGTATATTATAATGCAGTTTACTTGTCCGAATCATCCCTCGTCTAAAATTGATGAGTTTTGTACTGTGACTCAGTTATCTTTTCAAGAGTGGACACAGCAGATGAGAGACATCTTGGAGGCAAGAAAGCGTGGTGATTTGGCATTTCGTGATAAAGATTTTAAGACTGCAATAGATTGCTATTCGCAGGTATGCAACCCTTCTCTGCGCTCTTCTTTTCAGTAATGGACAAGAAGGCTGAAATTATCCTTTAAGTGGAAATTCATATTGTAGGGTCTCAGTGGTCGATTCTTACCCCAGTATTCATGCAACATTTTTTGAATTTTGCACTTTATAATTTATATATACTTTGAGTAGTCTCAAGATCATTTTTTGAACTAAATTTCTGTGGGCAGTTTATAGATGTTGGAACTATGATCTCTCCAACTGTTTATGCTCGCCGAAGTCTTTGCTATCTGTTCACAGACCAGCCTGATGCAGCTCTAAGAGATGCAATGCAAGCACAATGTGTATACCCAGACTGGGCAACAGCTTTCTACATGCAATCAGTCGCCTTATCGAAGCTAGACATGCACAAAGATGCAGCTGACATGTTGAATGAGGCTGCTCAATTAGAAGATAAACGACAGCGTAGTTTGAAAGGAAACTGAGGACCAAACTCTTGTATAATTCTTTCATAATTGGTTCTCAGTTGTTTGTTTTAGTCTTCATAGTACAGAGGGTGTGTTGGGTGTATGTATTACTCTTGCATTTTGATGCTGTACCATAGAGGGAGAGGAGTGTTTATTTTCTTGTGAATGTCAGTGGTGCCATTTATTAGTATCAAAATTCTTTGAAATAATTTTATATATGTATTTTGTACATTTTCAAACCTATAATACAACACAATTTTGGGAAGCATATGGCTGCAAATTGGTAAAAAGTGTTATCAATGTTTAGGTTGCAGACTGAGAATCTGAGATCAAGTTCCTATTCAGTGGAAAACTAAACTAGTTATATTTAGCAGGAGACTTGTTTGATATGTATGGTTGACTCAGAGCCAACTATTTAAAGAACCAGCTCCACATGAAAATGAAAACAAAAGGGGGAATTTTCTAATTACTTCATCTTCCAATTTGTTCTTTTTTTTTTTTTTTTTTTTTTTTTTTTTTTTTTTTTTTTTTTCTGGGAGCATATAAAATTTCAACATACTAAGGACTACAATGAATCTGAAAAAATCGACATATTTAACTTGATGGATATGAACCATATTTGCTTTCTTGATGATCCAGATAAGTGGTTCCATTTCAAACTAAAGAAGAGTCTTTCAAGTCTATAGGTCAAAGGGAGCTATGTTTACAGTTTAAAGCAAGGACGAAACTAAGACATAGTAGAAGAAGCCAGTTCATTCATCGAATTTTGTACACGGAAAGTTGTCTCATTTTTTTCAAATATGCAGTATGTATTAATGTATTATCTAACAAGTTTTGTACAAGCATGGAAACTGATGCACTTGAATCATATACTACAAGAAATCAGGAATTAATGACCTGACTTTAAGAAACATATAATTCAGCTTTGCCATCAATGAACAAGCTCATGAACTCTTCCCCATCAACAGTCTCCTTTTCAATGAGTAGCTGAGCAAGTTTGTGGAGGATGTCAATGTGGGTGTTGATGATGTCCTTCGCCCTTTTGTATGCAACCTCAACCAACTCTCTCACTTCACCATCAACCACATCGGCAGTTGCCATTGAGTAATCTTTCTGACTTGACATCTGTAAAATATATTCATATACAAATATGTAAATAACATTTGCATGGTTGCTTTGAGGAGCGGGGAGCAGTTCTTAACACAGCTTATGACAGACACAGAGATGAGTACTAATTTCTTCACCTGTTGTTATTGTATCGAAATTTTTTGTACCGATTAGAGTTGACTATTTTTACTATTATTTTTACTACATCAATTCTACATTTTATATTGCTACATGCAGTTACTAATTATTTGTTCTTCCGCAAATTTTAAGTTCAAGAGAACCCATTGACAAAAATCTAGGTCTATGATAGATTGTAAGTTTGACAATTAAATAATGTGCCTACCTGCTGGCCCAAGAATGGATTTCCACCAGCTCCACCGACAGCAAGTTGTCCAATTTTCTTGCTGAACCCAAATCTTTCAACCATCTGCCTGGCAACCCTTGAAACTTGCATGAAGTCATTAGATGCACCTGTTGTAACATTGTCTTCACCGAATATAACCTCTTCAGCTACCCTGCAAAATATAGGGAAATTTAGAGTTAACACCAACATACTGTGTTAGATGTTGATAACTGTTGAATACAATACTGACCTGCCACCAAGAGCAACGGCCATCTGGTTTTCGAGATAGCTTCTGCTGTAAAGGCCTGATTCCAGCCTTTCTTCACTTGGGGCAAAAAATGTGAGACCACCTGCTTGACCACGAGGAATGATTGAAATTTTGGCTACAGGATCATATTCAGGCATAAGAGCACCCACTAAGGCATGACCGGCCTCTGCACAAAAAGGAAATATTTATAGCAGTTACATCCTAAAGACTAGCATTATAAGGCAGGAAGTTAACAAGATATGATCATTTGAACCCACCGTGATAAGCTACTAATCGCTTCTTCTCCTCTGATACAACTGCATTTTTCTTTTCTGGACCAGCAATAATTCTCTCTAGAGCATCTGATATTTCATCTTTGCTTATTTCCTTAAGATCTCTTCTAGCTGCAAGGATTGCTGCTTCATTCATCAGATTCTGCAAGTCTGCTCCAGTAAAACCAGGGGTTCTCCTCGCAATCTTTTCAAAGTCCACATCCTTCGCTAGTGCCTTTCCACGAGAGTGTACCTTTAACACCAACAATGGCAACAAATCAGCAGTTGACATCCATGTGAAACATGCAAGAAATGAAACAAGTTGATGAAAATTCAAAAACACCCTGATATTCTCTTTTCATATGCATAACTTTAGTTGGATACATTTCATTCTTGTATCGATCCTTCAACCAATTACCATATTAAATCCTAGACATGCTGATTTACTAGGCAAGCAAACTTTCTATACTACACCTGAAAAAAGTACATAATCTGGCAGTAAAAGTCCTTTCAGTTCAAGTACTGATTTTAATTAACCTTAAGACTTATTTCTTAGATAATTGCACAAGTTGTATTCATAATTTATCATACAACAATCAAAGCCAGAACACTATGCATTTACTCTCAGTCTAACCGTCCTATGTTCACATCTATACACTCACAAATAAAGTATTATCAGAACACTGATATTCTTCATTTCATAACCATCAAAGCAACTTCAGTCTTAGCTAGAAACATCTTTTCAGGTAGCACAGGACATAATACAATGTTCTTACACAAACAGCAATAAACTAGACTTGCGAGTGTTGCAACATCCTTACATATTAGAAACAATCAACTATTCCAAGGCATGTAAAATAGAATAGCAAAATCGAAAGCATGCTGATAAATAAGTCTAATAAGTTCACAAATTATACCTGAAGGATCTTAACTCTCCCTGCAACATCAGGCCGATCAACGGTCACTTGACGATCAAACCTCCCTGGCCTCAGCAAAGCAGAATCAAGAACATCAGGCCTATTAGTGGCAGCCAAAACAATCACTCCTGAATTCCCTGAAAACCCATCCATCTCAGTCAACAACTGATTGATAGTCTGCTCCCTCTCATCATTTCCACCTCCCATTCCTGCTCCTCTTTGCCTCCCAACAGCATCAATTTCATCAATAAACACAATGCAAGGCGCTTTACTCTTCGCCTTCTCAAACAAATCCCTCACCCTGGAAGCTCCCACACCAACAAACAGCTCCACAAACTCCGAAGCTGCACACGAAAAGAACGGCACACCGGCCTCACCAGCGACCGCCCTCGCCAACAATGTCTTTCCGGTTCCAGGGGGCCCCACAAGGAGACACCCTTTTGGGATTTTAGCCCCCAATGCAGTGTACTTATCAGGGTTCTTCAAAAAGTCCACAACTTCCTGCAATTCTAGCTTAGCCTGATCAGCACCGGCAACATCGGCAAATGTCACACCAGTTTCCGGCACTTCCTGGAACTTAGACTTCGACCGGCCGAAATCCATCGGCCCGCCAAGTCCACCAGGCCCGCCGGGCCCACCTTGGGCCCGACGGAACAAGAAAAACAACCCTGCAAAAGCAATAATAGGAAACAACAAATTCCCAATAAAACTAAACAACCCATTTCCACCCTCCCCTTCAGAAACAGAGATATCTACACCATTCATTGCCAAAATATCAATAAGATCAGGATCATTAGGAACGACTACAGAAGCTCTTTTACCATCAATTGCAGTTAACTGTAAAACAGAACCATCCTTACTGAATCGCACCCTTTCAACCTTACCCTTCTTCACTGCATTCAAGAACTCACTGTACCTCCATTGAGAACCTTCTGGAAGATCCGAATTCGAAGGTTTCGGAGCATTCAAGACTAAATTTTGCGAAAAGGGGGTTGAATTTGGGAGACCAGGATTGTTGGGTTGAGCTTCAATTACCTGGGGTGGTTGCGGTGGAGGAGAGATATTATCCGCAGCAAAAGCTTGCTGTGAAGCAAGAGTTGAAGATAAAATTAAAGCTGTTAAAGCTGATTTTGATGGAAAATTAGGGTTTTGAGAATTGGGGGTTAAGGATTGAGTGATGAATTGTTTTCTTCTTGGAGAAGCTAAAGAGGGTTTTGTGGTTTTGGGTGTTGGCGGGTAGATTAGGACGCCATTTCCAAGGAAGCTTGAAGATAGTAAATGGTTAGTCGCCATTGTTGATTGGTTTGAAGCTTTAAAAAAATGGAAATTGGGTTTTGATTTTCAGTGTCTTGGGTTTTAAGGGAGGAAAGAGGAGAGTGAATCTATGGCTAAAATCTGTTGCTGCTGGAGCTTGGTGGTACACAAATGAAAAATGCAATCTATATTCTATAGTATAGATATTTTATTTTATAACTTATTTTTATGAAATGTGGGAATTAAATTGAATTAAGTAATTAAGTTTATAAGGATGTGGATTAATGTGTACAACAATAATGGTGTGGGATTGAGAGAGTTTGGAAAGTAAAAGATGAAATTTGGGTTCAATACAAGCCAAGAGATGAGTGACTTGCTTTGTTGTTTACGTGTGCTTTCTCTTATCCATTCATTTTTGTACTTAAAAATTTGACATTTTGAAGATTTTGCACTTTGAATATTGGGGTTAAACGGTACGGGAAAAAAGAGGGATCCCCAGTTTATCAACATGATAAACGAAATTTGTTGATTAAATGGCAATTCAGTAAATATTTTACTTTGTTTTCTGTGAAATGACTTCAAAAAAATATATTTCTACTCAGTTGGTAGGTGACACTTATGGACCACAATTAACGCCAAGTTAACGAGGGCGTTAACTCTATAAGACCATCAGCAGTATACATCTCTTTCAAACTCTCCTTATTTTTCTCTCTCCTCCGCCATTGAAGTCGACGATGAAGCTTCCACCGCCATTGATCGATCTCTTGATTGGACGACTTCTTCTTCAACTACTTGATTTTCCGACGACATTTGAGCTAATTAATCTTGTTACAAATTCAGCTGAAAAACAAATGAATTTGGAAAAATAAAATTGAATTGAATTCTCAAAAATTCAGATTGGTATTTTTTCATTATTTTTTGTCCTTTGCTTCTTCCTACTCCATCTTCTTCATCCTTCATTCCTCCATCTTCTTGCTTTCTTGCTCGTGAACACCATGTCACCACCACAATTTTGGCGAAAACAAAAACTCCAGTTGAAAAATTAAAGGTGAAAAGAGGAAAGGGTTACATCCTCCTGCCCAAATTTAGTGAATTTTAATTGCCCAGTTTTAATGGTGAGTGCTCCGACCTTAATTTTGTGATAGAGGAGACCAATGTTCAGCTTTAAATTTACAGGAGGGAGAAATTTTTTTCTTTATGAAAGAACGGGAGAGAGAAAATTAATGGAGGAGAGAGAAAATGTTTAGAATAACCAGAAGAGAGAGAAAATGTTCAATTATGTGTTCACGTCGTCAAATTCACGTTTACAGAAAATGTCAATTTTGCCCTTAAATTTTCAGATGAAAGTACATCAAAACCCCTTGATAAACAAAACTTGTTTCTCATTCTGATAAACTTGAATTTGCTCGGAAAAAAAAATCCAAATTTCTAAATTGAATTTTGTTTATCAACGGGTATTTATGTCCTCCGTAATTGACATGTTACTTTATTTTTTAATTGCCATTAGTTTGTTGATAACTTTTACGGTCTCTCCTCCCTTTAATTACTTTACTCTATAAGGAGGTTATGACCTACAACGTTTTCCCATAAGTGGGTTATGGAGTAATTTTTTATGATTATTGCCTACAATGATTGCTCACAAAGTAGGTGTGGAGTAGAATTTTCATGTCTACTTTTATTCTTTTGGTTTTCTTTCACTATTCTTGTATTCTCTTGTAACCCCCCCCCCCATTAAAGTGAATAATAATGGTGATTTAATCAAGTTTATTATTCTGATTTAATCACACCTATGGTGTCTAGATTCATCCTCTAGAAACTCCATCATTGCTTATAAAATTGGCTTGGTTTTCTTCATCTTTGATGGAAATTATACACAAAATACAAAAAGCTAACCAAATTTCTTCTTCTTTTGGGCATAAGTTTATATGACTTCACCTCTCACTCAAAAGTGCCTTTGACTGAGAGTGGTGTGCAATCTTAGGGAATGTACCGACAATAAAACGAGCACCCCTGTTACGTTGGAATCTGTTTTCAAAACTAGTGACGAATGTCACGCCACACCAATTTCCTTTGATCAAACAAATACATTAATACATTATATAATCATTATATTTGTAGCCTTTGAAACACTTATTTTACAACAATCAATGCTTGACTCTAGAGGGTAAGGAGTAGATGGCCAACTACTTTGAATATGAGAAGTAATATTTCCATTAGTCATTATATTGTTAGATGAAAGGGGTGTTCAAGCTCTAAGAAGATTGAAAGAAAATGATGAATGATCTACTCAAACAATAGGTTTCATGTGCATATGAAATGCCTCATTTTGCCTATTAAATACAAGCCAAGAGATGAGTGACTTGCTTTGTTGTTTACGTGTGCTTTCTCTTATCCATTCATTTTTGTACTTAAAAATTTGACATTTTGAAGATTTTGCACTTTGAATATTGGGGTTAAACGGTACGGGAAAAAAGAGGGATCCCCGGTTTATCAACATGATAAACGAAATTTGTTGATTAAATGGCAATTCAGTAAATATTTTACTTTGTTTTCTGTGAAATGACTTCAAAAAAATATATTTCTACTCAGTTGGTAGGTGACACTTATGGACCACAATTAACGCCAAGTTAACGAGGGCGTTAACTCTATAAGACCAAAATGGACTAGATTTTAGGCAAATTTATTAAAAAAAACCTATTAAATGCCTCATTTTGCAAGAAAAAACATTTCAAATGATTCTTTGTTAAAAAAAAACCACCACGATCAACTTTTTGTCTAAAGATTCCTCCCCCCTCTTTTCCGGAATTGACTACAACTTTTCGGGGTTGACCTCTTACTTTCCCTATTTGCACCTTATTGTTTGGTGATTTTCCCTCTTTTTTTTTGGTAGCCTAATTTTCCCTCTATTTATAATCTAGGGCAAGACGCCCCAAAAATAATTAACAGAATTGAAAGGTAGTTTAGGGTTCTTCATGTATTTCTTCCACAATTGAAGTGGTGATTTCACCATTCTAGGGTTTACTCTACCATTCCTCTATCCTTTGTAATTTTTCTCTTACTATGATTTCTTTTTTCTACCATTAAACCTGACAAACAAAGCAACCAAAACAAAATCGAAGACATTCAACATATTAGGGCAACATTTGAACAATTTTAGCCAACAAATTTAACAATCCATCAGAGTTTAGTGGGTTAATTTGGCTCACATCACAGTACAAATTCTCCAACAAGCAGCAACAATCAGGTAAATTAGGTTTTTTTCTCTTATTTATCAGTTAAACCCTAATTTTTATGCAATTCATGGATGCAATTAAGTGCAAAATTGAAGAACATACCTTGGTTTGTACTTAACAAAGTAATTAGGAAACCTTGATTTGCGTCCAAAAAGCCTCTTTATTCCTCCTTTATCAATTGAAAACAGGAAATACGTGAGTTCCAAGCTTGAGTAAAAAAAGCCCCAATTTTTGCTCTATTTCAAGTAATTAGATGATGAATTTAATCTTACCTTAGGTTATTGTTCACGAATTAATGGCGAGTAGCAGAGGAAACAGAGAGAGAAACCCAAACTGAGTTGGTGGCACCACTAGTAGAATAACCTTAAAAGGCACCGGTTCAAACCCGGTTTAAGCCATCGGTTCGAACCGGTCACAATGTGGGGGGTGCCAATACCTCCCCACTTTGTCACCAGTTCAAAACCGGTGGTATAATTGCAGAGCATCCATGGAAGAAAAAAGAGAGAGAATACAGAGGAATTGGAGGGAAAATAAGAGGGGCAAATAAAAAGGGGAGTGCAAATATAAAAGTGTTTGGGCGCAACTGGGGAAAATAAAAAGTCAATGCCGGAAAGTTGTAGTCAATGCCGGCCAGAAAAAAAGGGGGAGGTTTCTTTAGACAAAAAAAAAAAAATTTGATCGTGTTGGTTTTTTTTAACAAAGAATCGTTTTAAAGGTTTTTTTCTTACAAAATAAGGCATTTAAAAGGTTTTATTCAATAAATTTGCCTAGATTTTATTGAACTTAATTTTTTATTTCATTTGGATTATTTTGAGTTTATTAAGCTTTGATAGTTTGAGTACATCAAGATATCCGGCCAAGGATGCATGTATACCGTACAGCCTAATTATAAATTTATAATTTTCTCATATTTATAATTTTATATAATTGACCATATTCAATTTACAGAAACTGCATGTAACTAATTTAAAATTGGATCAACCTTAAGAGTAGCACAAGTGGAATTTAAAAGGTATTATGTATGTGCATGAATGGCATAGACAGGAGACTTCTAACATAATAATTTAAGGGCATTAAGGCCACAACTTGAGCAACATTATCTTTGATCTTTACAAGTGATTTGGAAGATCATTTCATCATACTATATAATATGGCTGCTGGTGGTGCAAGAATAATAAGATAACTGAATATTGACAGCTTTAAATTTCTGGTGTTTTAAATAATGTTATTCCCTTCGTGTAAATTATGTGATACTTGTTTATCACTATTGTTTAATTACATTACATTTTTTTTTCTCGATCTGTAGTGCAATGATATTTATTTATTTTTTTTTTTTTTTTTGGTGCGAACAAAGCGCAATGATAAATGTGAATTGAATGTTCTAGGCCTTGAGTACCACTTGTAATGCTGAAACAATTAAACTAGTTGGCAACTACTATTCAAACTATTAATATTTTCTCCTTTCAAGTTAAATTCTCACAACTAAGTTGGCAACCACTGTTCAAATTATAATTATTTTCTCCTTTCAAGTTAAATTCTCACAACTAAATATTATACATATTTCTTTCACTATAGATAAGCAATGCTTAACTCAGAGGTAGAAATTTAAAAATTCTACAATGTCATTCTTTAAAAATGACACCACAACTTGCTGATGTGGCAAAATTTGATTGGTCTGTATTTTGTATTTTTATTTTCATTTTGAATTATTTTTAATGTCCAAAATGTATTTAAATTGTATTTTATTTTTGTATTTTTTTCATACATGTATTTATTTTAGAAATACATAATTATAAATTATGAAAATCTAGTTTTATAATTAAAGTTAATTTTCAAATTTATAATTATAATTAGAAATCATAAAATTAAATTCACATCTACGTCTAAATTGTTTATCATCGTTCATTGTATCGGTCATCGTTTATCATCGTTCATCATCCATCATCATCATCGTTCATCAATCATCAATCATGGATTTGCTGCGGGACGGAGAAGAAGAATGACTGTCGGAAACATTGCCTGAAAACTGACCATATCAAACCCCGAGAAAGTCGCCTAAAACCTTCCTGAAATTGACCAAAACCGATCCTAAAACCATCGCCAAATAGCCAAGAACTGCCATGCC